CCAATATATCGATAATCGCCATATCTGATATAATCGTTATCATGAGCTTTGTATCGCGTATTGTATCGTATCGTAAGGTACCCTGAGGTTCCCATCCCTATAGTTGACTGCCTTAAAACAAGATTTGCCAATTTCAAGATTTCGTATTTCTGATCTTAGACATTTGGCAGAAAAACCGCTAACGGTGCTAAATCCCACACTGCTGCATCCATAATGTGTATTTTTAGTTTCCCTCTGATGCTAAATGAAACAGCAGCATTAGCAGAAGGTGTTTGGGAGCGAGTCCAGAGCTGGATCTCCACTGGACCTCGAAGAATGTGGCGTTTGAGTCGTACGAGCTGTCGGCAACAATACCACACTCGCTCTTCACAAACGGTTTGAGCTGTCGCCGTGTAGCGTTTGGAGAGATTTTTGTACTTTTTGGAATATGGCAGGTTTAGTAATAATGACATTATGAAAAGCTGTAAAAGTGGATGTAGCAATTCAACAATAACATGGGAAAAAATACTTTGACAGAACGTGCCTTTGCCAGCTAAGAGTGGTCCCTGCTTTATCGCTGGGGGTAAAGCTAAAATTAAATCTGCAACAACAACAAAAAGAGAGAGAGAAGCCAAAGAGAGAGAGACCAGAGTGAGAGACCAGAGTGAGAGACCAGAGTGAGAGACCAGAGTGAGAGACCAGAGTGAGAGACCAGAGTGAGAGACCAGAGTGAGAGACCAGAGTGAGAGACCAGAGTGAGAGAGATCAGAGAGAGGGAGAGACAAGAGAGAGGGACCAGAGAGAGAGGGACCAGAGACATTGTTGGACATTCTGGGACTACAATCATGTTCAATATTCTGTAGTCCACTCCCACTCTCCCTGACTCAGGTTGCCAGATTTGCACTGAATCCAGCAGCAAACACAAGGAATTATTGTATCAACTTGTTTGTCTGTCTCCATACCTTTCACATTGCCAGGAGAGTTGGGCTATCCCCTTCTAGTCATGGCCCTAGGGGGGATATACCCCATACATGTTTTATTTCCTATTTTTTAGACATAAATGTATACAAGTCCCACATCAAAAAGAGACTAACATTATTTTAATCCGGAAAAATCTGGTCTCATCAAATTATTTTTTTTATGATTAAGTTTTCCTATTTCTAAAAAAAGATATCTATGTTTAATGGTGAAATTGTCGTTAGTATTGACTTATTGAATACACACTTCAGATCATGGAAGTGCGTTCTGCCAGTGTTTTCAGCCACAGAATATGCCGTTTTTTGACAGAAACACCAAGTGCCTTATGAAAGATTAGGCTCTTAGATCTAATCTGCAAAAAAAAATTGCTTTTACCTTTTACTGTTCTTGAGCAATCTGTCACAGAACATAGTATATTGTTATCAGTTAAAGAAGAAAAGAGCATGGTTTATTAATGCCTTTTGACAGATTAGGGCCATTTAATGATGACTTGACATGAAAATATTACATTTTGCTATTTACCAATGGGACAAAGCAAAATTATCTTGTTTAAAAAAGATACAAGAAATGTCCTCCTTGGAATTTAAAAATAAAGCCACATTTCTTGAAATTAGACTAAATGGTTTTGTCCCATTGGAGAATCTTGTTTTGAAACAGTCAGAATGTGCTCAGATTACGATAAAAACCACTTGATTCATGCAATTATTACCATATAAGTAATCATTTTTTGCAGTGTAGAGGAAGTCTGACTTGATAACTTAATCTACATGACATTAGTATGTTTTACGATATAAAACAGATATCATAATTATTTGTTATTGCACCATAATGATAATGCAAATTCCCAGTTCATTCATTCCCTGATCAATTACAAATAACAATAAAACCTGAGTCTGTATCTCTGTCCCAATGTTTCCGAGTAAAGTGCTGCGGCCGACTTTGCCTAAACCCAGAACACACTCCAACACGTTTTGCATTTTGCATTAGCGTTGAGGCTAATGGAAAAAAGTATTATTCGTCATGAATCAAAGTCCTCTGACAGCTCCAAACCACAAGGACGAGTGCATCCTGCCTTAGCAACTGCCCAAGTCAATAACAATATGTTTCTTTATAAGTGCATAAAGATAACAAACGCTATGCTAGCTGCCGAATTTGAAGGAGGACATATATATCAAGATCCATGTGTACTTTAAGCTAGTGTTTTGATAGCATTTCAAAGAAGACACCAGTCGGACCAGTCTCTGAGGCCGTCCCATTAAAACAACACAGCTCAGGGGGAAAATAGCTCTAACCTGGTGACAGTTTGTAATCAACACGACACAGAATAAGAAAGACACATAATGGGTTTGGCTGCGGTGACTCAAAAGACAAAATAAAAGTGTTTCGTTCCTCTATGCCCGAGACGAACGAAATACCTTTATACTTGCTTCTTATCTTGCTTGATTATGATCATGTTTTGTTTTATTTAATGATTAAAATAATGTATTAGGTTCTTCTATAGCAGACATTTCTAAAACATGTATATTCTGTATAGTTGTGTACATCTATATGTTCGCAGCATGAGGGTATTTTAGTGTAAACATGGAAAAGAAGAGAAGACAGAACTGTTTTGAAGCTGACGATCAGGTCAAGAGTTCACTGAAACTCGCTGATAAAGCTCAGGGACGTAACTTTTTTACCTTATTACCGTCTGTAATAAGGTTGTGTGTCCTCATTGTTCAAGAATAATATTTATGCACTACCCACCTAAGTGTTTGCTTCAGTTCATGTGCAGACCATTATAAATGTCACAGAGACTTTCCATGTTTGTAATGTCTTTGAATAATACTGTATGTGGGAAAAGAATCGCAATATATCACAGATCGAATCACAAAACTGTCTGTATCGTGATATGTTAAGAATCACAATAATATTGAAGTGTGGCCCAAATATCACAACACTATCAAATCGTACCGTTTTAGCAAATTCCCAGAACTGATAAAGAGTGGTTTGTTTGTGTTAACTGTGATGGTACATATGTTGCATCGACCACACAACAACCAAAGAAACTGAGAACAGTGTGAACTGAGTGGCCCACATGGTCACAAACATGTGTCACATGGTGCACTGTTGACGGAAACAAAAACATCTTCAAACTGGAGAAACTAGAGCGAACATGTTATGAGGGCAAGTCCGAGTCTGAGTCCTGGATCTACAGCCTCGGTCCTGGATCAGAGAGCCAGACCTGAGAGACCAGAGAGAGAGACCAGAGAGAGAGACCAGAGAGAGAGACCAGAGAGAGAGACCAGAGAGAGAGACCAGAGAGAGAGACCAGAGAGAGAGACCAGAGAGAGAGACCAGAGAGAGAGACCAGAGAGAGAGACCAGAGAGAGAGACCAGAGAGAGAGACCAGAGAGAGAGACCAGAGAGAGAGACCAGAGAGAGAGACCAGAGAGACCGACCTGAGAGAGACCTGAGAGAGACCTGAGAGAGACCAGAGAGAGACCAGAGAGAGACCAGAGAGAGACCAGAGAGAGACCAGAGAGAGACCAGAGAGAGACCAAAGAGAGACCAAAGAGAGACCAAAGAGAGACAAAAGAGAAACAAAAGAGAGACAAAAGAGAGACCAAAGAGAGACCAAAGAGAGTCCAAAGAGAGACCAGAGAGAGACCAGAGAGAATGAGAAGTATGGAGACAGAAGCTTGAAATATTGCATAAAACATCGATTGATAAAATAAAAACAGTTCAACTGAGAATAATAATTTGCATTGTCCCCAGAATATTATGTGTTTTAAATTGGACCTGTAATTGAATCTGTAATAAAGTTTAACTGAATAAAGTATTTTTTTATCTGAGAATAACTTTTGAAAAACTATTTTTCAGCTGCCTCGTGTTCCTCTAAGTAAAGCCTGTTTTCTCTCAGGCCACTTTGACAAATGCAGAAATCACACAAAATCACTGTTTTTTTGCTAAATCCTCCGTCTTTTTTGGCCCTTGTCGCTCCTTACGTCCAGACCACAAGCTCCGTTTGATAGAGTGCTTTCTCAAACATGGCAGCTCTATAATTTTTGGTTTGGTTTCTCCTTTTACTCTATCATACTCAGGCATGATTTAAAGTGCTGTTTGAGGCCGTTAGAATAATACCGGAGTAAGTTATGGTTGAAGAGGCATAGAACAGGCCAGACTCTGTGCTCCTCTCTCTGCGGAGTGTATTTACAGGAGAAATGGATGTTCTGGTCACACAACGTCATCTGAAACAAACACACATTGAATCACTGTGTCAGTCATTTTTACAATAGTCCTGCACTCTCAATTCAATTCAATTTATTTTGTATCTCTCTGGTCTCTCTCTCTGGTCTCTCTCTCTCTCTCTCTCCCTGGTCTCTGACTTCTGTCAGTGTGCCCCAGGGCAGCAGTGGTTAACGTAGTAGTTTATCACCACTGTGTTTGGAGTGGATGAGTAATGACATGAGAAGCAATGTATAAAACCAATGCATTATTATTAGGGATGTACCAATACCAACACTGGTATCAGGTATTGGGTTGTGTAAGTGTCATGGAGTGTGTCCAAAGAAAAAACATGTGTCACACCAGCAACTCGATCCAACATCTGAAAACTCACCGTAAAACAAAAATAACCAACTCTACAACACAGCATTTGTATGAGTGGAATTTGACAGTGGCTCTTATTGTTGGCTGGTATAACATTCACAAAAAATTCTAATTGTTAAAGTGTTTTCTTATTGTTGTAATGAGAAATTTTAATATGAATATTTTATTCGTTTTATGAAATCCCAGGTATAACACAATGCAGTACTCGTATCGGTATTCTGTATCGGCAAGCACTCAAACTAAGGCACTTGTACCCGTATCGGTGCTGCATCCCTAACTATTATTGTTATTATTTTCATTATCAGCTACTTGCTCAGAGGTGGGGAGAGATACACAGCCTTCGTTAGCAAAGTCGTATTTAGAGTTTTGCAAGATCTTGCTGTAACTTGTGCTCCAGCTCGTCCCACCTCCATCGTCCTTCTCCAGGTTCAAAACAAGTCTCTTTGTTCCAGAGTGTTTGGCTTCTACAAAGGGATCCTGCCTCCCATCGTGGCGGAGACTCCCAAGAGAGCGTGCAAGGTAAAACTCCTCACCTTCAATCACAAACATCAAACCTGGTGTCAACACAAAACCGTCTGAGAGCTTCACACGTCTAGTTGTTTGAATAATAAAGTGTGTAAGTGTGGGAGGATCTGTTTGTACAATCATCTCCACAAACATTGACTTTTTTCTAGTACTTTATCTGGGAACTCGTCGTCCCAAACTTTGTAGCTGTGACGATTGGGGAAGTATAATTAAATGTATCATAGTTAAATATTGAAATTATCTACAGAAGCTAAAACCATTTGGATCAACCTGGTGCAGCCTTTGGGGACTATCTTTTAATGTTTATTTGTTTACGAAAGACTAAAGATATTATAGGAATAACATAATAAAGAAGCAAGAATAAATCTCTAACTTTAACGTAAAATAATGCTATAAATGTCTTGTCTATTTGAGTGTAGTGCTTTATCTCAACATAATCCATAATCTGACATTAAATCAGACTTTAAATATCTAAAATGGCTCTTCCTGTTGTGTAACGTGCCTGTGCTCCTCGCGCTCGGAGGAAGTGTTAGCATGTGGCGCTAATAGAGGTCAGAGAAAGGCGGGGCGCACTGGTTTAAAGCCACTTTTTTAATGAGAAACTGGTGACTGCGACGTGTGAACTTTTATAAATAAGCTCCCGCTGAGAACATGGGCTAATCGCTAACATGGCTAACCCAGCTAACGCCCCAAAAGACTCGAGATCACGGTTTGTTCCAGCTTCTGTTACCAAAGACTGTCGGCAAAGTCGGGATACGTCAATTTGGTTTTAGTCAAATGTATTTAACTGTAACTTCATTTTTGTAAAGCCCTAAATCACAACAGTAGATTTACATTCATTTAAAATCAAGATGAATCCTTTATTTGAGTTTTTCAGAGGAGAAATGTCAGTGTTGCATTCCCAGTTACAGAACAGAAGGAATGAGGAGCACACAACACAAATGAATGAATATTATTTCTATTCTAAAATAACATGAAGAGGTAAGTGTAAAATACTGTCTATTCTCTTGCAGAAATACGTATCTGTACAAATTTGCCATTTGCAGTAAAACCACATTGGAATACAAGTGCATAAGTCCCCAGTGCACAACAGACGAGTACATTAGCAGTCGATTCACGAACAGAAGATCAGAGAATCAAACAATGCAGTGATAACAGACACAGAGCCAACATGTTAACAGATGTCCTTTACCCTTGTGCTCTCCTCGGGTCAGCTTGGCCTAACCCTTTTAGGTTGTAGATATATAGATCGATAGATGCACATCCATCTATACAAACAAAAAATACATCATTCTAAAAGTTACTAACAATAGTGATGAAGTGCACGTCGAACAAACAATAAACTAAAGTCCAATATTCACCAGTGTCTCTTTATTTATAGTTCTGTCTGAGAATCTTAGTCCTTGTTAAATTCCCCAAATAATTTCTTGACGTTGACTAATAAGTTTTGACAATAATGCCATTGTCTCCTGGGTCGGTCTCGGTCGCTTTGACAGTGGTGGTTCATTGTCTGAGTTCTAACCTCACGTATCCTTCTGCTGTTTGTTTCTTTGACTTCATTTGTCGGCGGTGACTCTCTGACAGATCATTTGTCTTTTTCTCTCCACAGTTTTTCTGCTTTGAACAGTACAAGAAGCTGCTGGGACTGACGCCTTTGTCTCCTGGAGTGGTGAGTAGGTCAGAGATCTGTGAACACTGCTGTGGCAAAACCAGACAAACAAGGACACATTACAAGAGGATGGAAAAAGAACAAATCATCAACATTCCAACATTTAATGAAACAGAAATGGCAGAGAGCGACTTCTTTAGTCACAGCCAGTCAAGGAGAACACACCATTATACCAAACAGCAGGTCAAACTCAGGCCCTAGGGCCTAAAAATTTGGGCCACGAGACCAATTTTAGTGGCCCCTGAAATGACTTTCAATTATAATTTTACAGTAACCGTTTCGTTTGAAAATGGGCTATTATGGCTTGTTATACTGGATTCATCAGGTGTACCATCAGGAAAACAACCAGATAATTGAATTTGTTCTAAAATGTGCTTGAAAGTTGAATATGTAGTTATTAAAATATCAGTCTGAATATAAATCTCTTCTCAATATTTAGCCCAGTGGTGGTTGAATGCAAACCTACCATTAAATGATATACAAACTTACATTAAAAAAATACTTTTGGCCCTAACCAGCTCTTATGTTTTTATATTTAGCCCTGACCAAATTAGTTTTTGACTTGTATTATAGATATGTATGTATGTATTGTATTTTATGTATGTGTTTTGACTGTTTTCACCTTTCTGTAAATGTGATTTATTGTGGGAGTGGTGACTGAACACCCTTGGGTGCCTGCCCCACCCTATATAAAGATGACTTCCTGGTGCACTTCTCATATTTGCTTAATGAAGGCGTAACGCCAAAACCTCGCACTCCTGTTTGAAAAATATTTTGCAAGTAAGAATTAAAATATGTGTAGTTAAAATAGACATCAATCAATCAGGATCATGTGTTTAAGTCGAGTTGAATCGTTTAGAGAGCTACCTGATAGGGGAATGGGAGCTACTGGTAGCTCCTGAGCTACAGGTTGGAGACCACTGAAGGACGTCAGCTCTTTCGGATGGGTCCTTACATCAGCCATTTCCTCACACTCCCCCCCGAGCTGGCAGCAAAGACCTGAAAGATTCTGTTTATAGTTTATTTTTCTTTGGTCATCAGTCCACAGCAAAAACTATGTTTTATCCTAATGTTGACTATTATACAGACCTAATGTTGATTATTATACAGACCAAAAGAGTTCGGCTGAAATTTGACACTTACATCCAGAGAGTCAATCTATTAAATGTCTGCAGTCTATGGCAGGGGTGGGGGCCACATCAGTACACTGTGGAGGGCCGGACTCTTATTCAGTCAAGTAGTTTCAGTTCATTGATTGTTCTTCCATATTTGAGTGAAATGTAAAACGAAAAGTGAGAAAGGAGAGGGTGTCATATTAAAATTCTGAAATACTTTGAGGATTTAAAAAAATATGATGTATAAATATAGATTAGAGATTTAGCTGTCTTTAGATTAAAATTCTTGTTCGAATTCGAGTTGAACTAAAGCTAAAGAAGGTTAAGTATTGTGGACAGATAATGGGCCACATTGAATCCTGAATCGGGCCGTGTCCAGCCCCCGGGCCTCGCTTTGCCCTGGTCTGGTCTATATTCATGGCCTCTGCAGCTTCTGACGCTCACTTATAGATACATTTTGAGACGTTATAACACAGCAGTCTACAAAAAAAGGATTGTAGACAGCAGGACGCATCCCTGAGTGTACACGCATCACGTATCGTCGTCCTCTATCAACGCCAGGTTTATCTAAAGCTGAGGAGCAGGTGTTTGAGACCCCGCTCTCCCTGTGTCATCCTTTTGTTCTCAAAACTATTGTTATATTTTGATTTATGCTCTGTCAGTTTAAGGGAAAGTACAGTGAGAGGAGCACGCACACACTTTACTAGTCTCTGTATGACGTTTTAAGCATATGCAGGAGTTTTGCTTGTGGCTTTAGATCTTATCAGTCCTTTCACTCTGAGGTTAAAGGCAGAAGAAGCACTGCAACCAGGATCAATGTTATATTTTATTCAATTGGACTTCACAGCCAACACATCTGAAATTGTTTTTCATTACAGATGGCAGTATAAATATAAACATTTGTTGGAGTTGCAGTCCTGATCTACAGCTTATTCATCTGTGGGAGCGGTTTCTAATTTTCCTAGCACTGGAGGGTGCAGGAGAGTCTAACTTATGGTCCAATGGTTCTATGTGTTTGTTATCATTGCATTTCTGGTGTTTGAACTGTTTGATTATCTGTCTTGGCGAATCGACAGCTTTGTAAAGTCCTCCGAGATAACTAATGTTGGGATTTAGGGCAATACAAAAAATATCTAATAGGTTGACTGATGGATTTTGATTGAATTTATACCTCAGTATGAAATAAACATTTGACTAAGATTGTGGGTTCCACCGACTCCTACTGATGTCTGCTGTCGTTGTGTCCTTGGGCAAGACACTTTCAGCCCCCGCTGAAAGGTCAAGGCTATGTTCACACAGACAGAGCAGCCATCCTCCTGTGGACTCACCAACTGCAGGAGGATCAGTGAGGGTGCACTCACTGATAAACACACACATACAGTACCTAGACACACTCCCACAGACCCAGACACACACATGCATATTCGCTTTATTTTTTTTGATAATTACAACCACTATAAATTTAGCAAAACGTTTTCTTCTGTCCCCTTTAACAGGAGACATAACTTTTGTTACTTTCATATTTTGCAAAAGCTAATCCAGCTACATTTTGTTCTATGGATGCGTCTGATTTTCATGAATGCTCAGACTGTTCGGCCTCGACAGCTCTGAGGAAGAATGATTGTTTGGTTTTGGGTGCGGCCGACTCTCTCCGACTCTCACTGTTCAGCAGCAGCAGTGTCACACAGATGGATGTTCAGAGCCGTCTGGACTCGTTTGGAAAACTACTGGTCCAAGGATGTTTGCCTGTCCCATCTATCACACACACATAGACACACACACACACACACACACTGGTCCAAGGATGTTTGCCTGTCCCATCTATCACTAACACAGCTGTCTCTTCCTCTTTCTTAAAACTAACACTGCAAAAAGTGATGAAAAATAAGCAAAAAAATAATCTCACATTTGGCAAAATGTTTCTTAATTTGAGTACATTCTGACTGTCTTAAAACTGAATTTGCGAATGGGACAAATCAAAATAAACTATACAAGAAATGTCTCCCTTGGAATGAGCAAATAATGCAAAAGTCCCTGTGGTGAATCTCACTGGTCTCACGCTCTGATCTCTTTCTGGTCTCTGGTCTTTCTGGCCTCTCTTCCTCTGGTCTCTCTCACAAAGCAACAGTTTTTTAAATAAGACTAAATGGCTTTTCCCCATTGGCAAATCTTGTTTTATAAAAACCAGTCCATTCCAGCAATTATTAATTCATATTGTATAACTTTTTGCAGTGTAGAACTCCCAGAGCTGCCATTTTGTCTGCTCTTTTCCAGACCAATAGAATTCTGAGAAATTCCCCCCAAACATGTGTAGTTTTATACCAGGTGTTTGAACCTTTCAGTCCTGTTTAGTCTTGGCGTCGTCTCTATTTCCCTGTCATTGGGGTTTTTTTTATCTCATATCAAGTGCATCTCTTCCTCGTTGACCAGGAAATTATTCTCTGTTTGGACTCTTACCGTTGGTCATGAAATGTGCTGTATAAATAATGCTTACTTACTTATCGTTACATATTTGCTTAAAAATGTTTTATCCGTATGAACTGTTTGAGTTTTGAAATGCCATAGAATACATATAGAGAGACACACACACACACACACACACACACACACACACACACACACGTCAAGTCAAGTTTTCCCACTTAAAAAAATGAGGGAGGCCTGTAATTTTTGTCATAGGTACATCTCAACTGTGAGAAACAGAATGAGAAAAAAATCCAGAAATTTTTTGATTTTTAAAGAATATATTTGCAAGTTATGGTGGATAATAAGTATTTGGTCACCTACAAACAAACCTCACAGACCTGTGACTCCTTCTTTAAGAAGCTCCTCTGTTCTCCACTCGTTTTTAATGGCACCTGTTTGATCTTGTTATCAGTTATCAGAAAGACACATGTCCACAACCTCAAACAGTCACACTCCAAACTCAACTATGGCCAAGACCAAAGAGCTCTCAAAGGACACCAGAAACAAATGTATAGACCTGCACCAGGCTGGGAAGACTGGTGCAGAATCTGCAATAGGTAAGCAGCTTGGTGTGAAGAAATCAACAATGGGAGCAATTATTAGAAAGACATACAAGAGAAATTATAATCTCCCTCGATCTGGAGTTCCACACTAAATCTCACCCCTTGGGGTCAAAATGGTCACACTAACAGTGATAAAAAAAATCCATAACCACACGTGAATGACCTGCAGCGAGCTGGGACCAAAGAGGGGGACTGCAGTGCCCGACGTGTCCTCTGCTTAAGCCAGTACATGTCCAGACCCATCAGAAGTTTGCTAGAGAGCATTTGGATGATCCAGAAGAGGATTGAGATAATGTCACATGGTCAGATGAAACCAAAAT